AAGCTTTGCAGAGAGTGGTGAAGGCTGCACAGAAATCTGTTGGAATCAGTCTCCCCACCATCACAGACATCTACACCTCCAGATGCAGGAAGAGGGCCACCTGCATCATGAAGGACCCCACCCACCCAGCACACACACTTTTTGCCCCACTCCCCTCAGGAAGGAGGTTAAGGAGCATTAAGTGTAGAACCACTAGACTGAGGAACAGCTTCTACCCTGAGGCTGTTAGACTCATGAATCTCTAACTAGAATAATCACTGTGAAAAACCATATCATGTTGCTGCTGATCTGTTTCATGTTGCTGCTGATCTGTTTCAATGTTGATGTGTTCATGCGTGCACATCTGCTCACAGACTCATGTTCATGTTTGTGCTGATGTTCAATGTTTTATGTTATGAGTGCTTAGTGTATATTTAGTTGATGTTTTTCTTAGTTCATATCTTAGATGTTATTACTGTTTTTCTTATACATTTTATTGTTGCATGTAACTGGGACCCTGTGTACATAATTTCGCTCCACCACATGTACCACATGAGGTGCGAATGACAATAAAGAATCTCTGACTCTGACTCTCTGATCTTGTGGAACCCCTGAAGAGCAAGGACAAGTTCAGGTGGGTAAAGATGTAGGAGCTGGTAATAGAAGGTTGCTGTTTGATTCTCCTTACAGGTTGGATGTTTGGTAGAGCACCGAGACAGATCCAAAGAGGGTTCCAGGGTGTAGTATTATGGCATGGCAGGCAAGTGGCTGGAGGGCAAGGCATGAAAGACAGGACACATGATCGAGGTTGATCAGGACTGGAAGGCACCCGAGGAAGCAGGATGACTGGAGGCACAAAGAACAAGGTAAGTAAATACTTTTTTCATAAAGCACTAGTGGCCAGAGGCATAAATACCATGAGGTAATATAATGATCCAGCAAAGAGTAGCACTTGATTGCTGCAGCCTTAAGTAGTGGAGATCCTCATCAGGAAGATGGCCAACAGCGTGAGGTAATTAGTGGCCATCTTGGAGTGAAGAGCTGCAGAAGGTGGTGGGTATATTGGTAAAAGGATGTTATAAATTCAGCTGACAGGACAAAAACAAAGACAAAGGCCAAAGAGAAGATATAAGGATGCAGTTAGTGAGGACATAGAGGTAGTTGGAGCAAGGACAGAGGATGCAGAGGACAGAATAAGATGGAGGAGGATGACTTGCTATGGCGACCCCTAAAGAGGGAAAAGCTGAAAGAAGAAGAAGAATGACCAGGCTAATATTAGTAATATAAGCTAATCCGTTTATTTGTTTATTTGAATTTTTGGCAACTAAACAATGTGGCAAGAGTTTATTTTTCTGTAGAAAAATCATATAATTTGTGTGTCACTTATTTAATGAGTTTACAAAAGTATAATTTTAAAGTCCAAAAAAGTTCAATCTGGTCCTCTGGACATTCAAAAAAACAAAAAACAAAACAATGCAAAAAAAATATAGAAACATTTCGTCTCTCATCCGAGAGAATTCTTCAGTCTGAGGTGCTGTATTCAGCTCAGTCTCTTAAATAGCACCTTCTCAGAGTGGATCAACCAGTTTTGCTGCTGACAACCAAAACCAGCTGCTCACATGCTCAAGGAGGACCATCAGCCTAACAATGGATCATTAGCACACTGATGGCTGTTTACTACTCACAGAGGGCTGAGTGATACTAGCAATCACAGCATTGTAAGAGGGGGACAGTTGAACCCGGAGGCCTCCACCCCTGTTTAATGATGGACGATTTCTTTTCACAAAGATGGCCTCCTTTACTCCTCTCTCAAACCATCGTTCCTCTCTGTCCAGGATGTGAACATCTTCATCCCTGAAAGAGTGACCGCTGGCCTGGAGATGAGTGTAGACCGCAGAGTCCTGGCCTGATGATGTTGATCTTCTGTGCTGGTCCATCCTTTTGGCCAGTGGCTGTTTAGTTTCCCCGATGTAAGACTGATCACAGCCCTCCTGACACTGAACAGCATACACAATATTGCTCTGTTTGTGCCGGGGGACTGGATCTTTGGGATGAACCAGTCTTTGCCGTAATGTATTTTGGGGTTTAAAAGCCACTGGGACGTTATGTTTAGAAAATAAACGTCTCAGTTTCTCTGATACTCCCTCAACATACGGAATGACCTGTTTTTTGTTTTTTTTTAATGTCCAGAGGACCAGATTGAACTTTTTTGGATTTTTCTACCTGGATTATTGAGCATGCATCAGGATAATTTTAAAGGTTTATTACAGACCTAATCACTTTTCATGGTAGCAATATTGAATTTTAAAGTCAGAGATGGTCAGGAATGGCTGGATTTTAACCTTTAGGCGGTATTTAAGTTGGTTTTCTGACTTGGAAGCTGAAACTTTCAATTTGTAAGAACAACTGGAAAGCACCACTAAAATATGGTCAAAATATAATCCAAATTATTCCTCGCCACACTTTCATATATTGGGCTTTTGAGGCAGGAGCCAATTAGATAGCATCTAGTATAGACTGGGACTTCATGACAAGTTTAACTAACCATCAGCTGTAATTGATAATTCCAGTTAAAATGATTCTATTTTAGCTCAGTGGGCTTCATCACTACATGAATGAATACATTGTTCACATAATTATAATGTGTGAATGTGAATGCTTCAAAAAGTTCACAAAACATTTAACTTCCTGAGATTTTGGTGTGTTTGTTTTAATATATACAGTATACAATTTTTTAAAAAATGTTTTCAATTTGAAATGTCTTTACTCAAATAGCATTCCGTTAAATTATTTTTATTTATCTAGCCCAGTAATAAATTGGTGAAAAAGAGATTAGTTCAAATCCATCTGTATGCTACCAGTCTGTTTTTAGATATTTTACTTGACATTTTTAGTGGCTTAGTTTAACAGATGAAACACACTGAAACAATGCATTCTGTTGAACTTTTAAAGTACTGTATTGCTAATGTCTTATTATCAGACAACCTGGGACACCCTGAGATGTTTTGTCTAAACCTGACTAGTCAGAGCTATTTTAGTAGCAAAAGGCAGATTTAATTTTGACCCCACCCACACTTGGATATATTCAAAAAGTGGGAATTTCTGCTTTCTGTTTGCAGCTCCTGTCTACTAAACTAAAGTTTTTGGTAAAGAGATTTTTAAAATGCCTTTCCAAAGTGGAGTATTTAAAAAACACCACTTGGTCGATCTGAATATACTATATGAGATTAAGTAGCCTACTTTGTGCCTGCTCACTGTTTCAAACTTAAAACTTTTTAAAAGTTTATTTTTTACAAGTTGGTCACACTTTATTTTGTTGTCATTAAACTTTGATTCTGTGTAAAAAAAAAATAGTAATACCAAGAGAAAGCAATATAAGAAAAAAGTGTGGGTAAAATTATCCATCCATCCATCTTCCATCAATCCTCTTCCGCTTGCTCCAAAGTCGGGTCTTGGGGGCAGCAGCTTGAGAAGGGAGGCCCAGACATCTCTTTCCATAGCCTCTTCTTCCAGCTCTTCTGGGAGGACCCCAAGCTGTTCCCAGGCCAACTGAGGGGCCGTTTACACGGTGCGTATTTTGAGTGCATCCGCAGGTTTCTCTCTGCGGTTCTGCTGATCATTTACACAACACCCGCTGATAATGTAAACATCTCCCGCTGAACCTTTGTGTTAAACCACATACGCACGCGCGGACTGATGCTATACTTCTATCAACATGGCGGCGGATACACTGCTTTCGGAACTATGATTGATAGAATATATTTTTAATCTCGTAGTTAATCTACGTCAGATTCCAGGTGCTGTGACCGACATCTGTGTTGGAAGAGACACAATCTGATCCAGTTCTAATGTCGCTGTTTATAGAATGTGTCACGCACACACGTCGTGCTGCACTTTAACATACTAAATGTGCTAAATAACAAGTTTAATAATAATAAACAGTATTTATGTTAGTGTGCGAGATATAATGAAGCTCTGAGCTAAATGAAGCTATCTGGACATTATGTAATTTAAATTTAAAATGATGCTAAACATATAGCGTGAACACTAAACTTGAAAATGAAGACATCAGGTTTAATTTTTATTTATTTATTCAACACCACAAACTGTATGTCACACAAACACTGATAATTAAACTGAACACACTATTAAAACACGTTAACTGAACTTGAATGGATTGAATAAAAGAACTGAGGGGAATTTTAAACAAATAGTTCATCCAACATTTCTCTCTTCGACGTCCTCCTGCAGTTCATCTGGGCCGAGCCTTGCAAAGAACCGGTCCGCCTGGTGGAAGGACAGCTCCTTTTTCTTTCAGGAAAAATAAAAACTCAGTTGGTTGTTT